TGGGAATGTTAAGCAAGGAATGCCGAGAGGGTACTAATTAAAACACGCATCTAAGGACTGGAGGGGGTTTACGAGAGCACATATTGACAGGACAAGGGGGAATGGCTTCAAAGTGAGAAAGAGTAGGTTTAGGTTAGGTATTAGGAGGAAATTCTTTAATGCGAGGGGATGAGGTACTGGAACAGCTTGCCCAGAGAAGCTGTGGATGCCCCATCCCTGGAAGCGTTCAGGGCCGGGCTGGATGGAGCTCTGAGCAGCCTAATAGACCAGCATCTCCTGGTCTATTAGGAGGTGTCCATGCCCACGGCAAGGGGGTTGGAACCAGATGATGTTTAAGCTCCCTTTCTGGCAGCAGTGTCCCAGTGGCTCAGCCTGCTCACACTGTTGGGCACCCGAGCCTCGTCCTTGGGCTAAAAACAAAGGGGGAAAGCAGTGCCCATGTGTTGTGGGGCCAGTGGGGACAAAGTGATTGTGGTGGCAGCCTGTGCTGTCAGGGGCTGACACCTCACAGCTGGCAGCCATAGTGAAATGAAGAGTCAACTGGAAAGGGGCCTCATCAATGTGTATAAATATCCAAAGGGTGTCAAGAGGATGGAGCAGGCTCTCCTCGGTGGTTCTAAGCAGTAGGACATGAGGCAGTGGGCAGAAACTGATGCACAGGGAGCTCCATGTGAACTGAGGAAGAGCTTTACTGTGTGGGTGGCTGTGGACTGGAACAGATTGCCCAGAGAGCTTGTGGAGTCCCCCTCACTGGAGATATTCAGGAACCATCTGGGCACAATTCTGTGCCATGTGCTCTGGGATAACCCTGCTTGGGCAGGAAGGTTGGACCACATGACCCTCTGTGGTCTTTTCCAACCTGACTGATTCCGTGTTTCTGTGATTCTGAGTCCCACCAAGTTCCTGGTGGTATTACAGCAGATGTGTTTGCAGCAGTGTTTCCTTAGTGTTTGTGTGCCCCTTCTCACAATTATGTTTGCAGACACCTTTGAAATAGGTTACTCAGCTGCTGCTCAGCTGCGCAGTTGTGCAGAGAGCTGCCAGCCCCTTTGGTACCGGTGTGTCACCGTGTCAGTGTATGTCACTTAGGTGTAAAGCAGGATGGATGCTTGTCTGTGTCTGGAATATTAAAGAGGGCTCTTGGGTGTGACTTGGTCCTTCACCATGTCCACTCCTCTCTCCAGAGCACTGAATTCACTCAGTGAGCTGCCCTTTTGACTCCATTTGTCCAACTGGTTTTGCTTTCCTAAGTCTGGCAGTAACTCTGAAAGTGCCAGCTAGCTCAATTCTGTGTATTCTGCACAGTGTTTTACAACTCACTCTATAGCATAACCATCTATTTGTGATTTTTGCCATGGTCTAGGATATTTCAGTCCTTGCTACACTTGTGACAGGTGTAAACACCTCACCAAACCTTATGTCATGGCTTCTTTGCCTCAGGATATTTATGTATCTGAGCTTGTTGTCTGCACTGGCAAGTATGAGAAGTTCTGAAGAAAAAGCTGAAGATCTGACATCCACACCGCTGATTTTGTCATTATGGATGCAGTGACAACTGGAGTTTGAATATATTGAGTGTGTTCTGGGGGTGTAACTGTGGGTTTGGTTTCCTTCAAAAGGAATCCATTATGCACACTCAAAGACCCTGGATGGTAAGTGGGAGCCATCAGAGGATTCCCTTCAGAAGTGAGCTGCTGATCCTATCTAGAATAGTGATGCAGAGGCACCTCATGCATACCTAGTGTGCTCCATCCATATTACCTTCCTAGGGGTAACCTGGAGCAGGTCCTACCTGAAATGCACATAAGTGTATCAAGATCTCGACATTCAGTATCTCTGCTCTGCGTGCCCACTCCTATCAGTCTGTACTTGCCAGTATAGACACAGCCTCAGTTTATTTGACTGTGAATTCACCTAGTGGTGATGTGCATACACCACTGGAGAACAGTGATGAACCTCAGCCAAAAGCCATGAAAAGTTTTAGAGGAAAAGGTAGTATGTGATGGGGTTTCTCACAGAGATTTCTGATTTCCTTCACATTTTCTGGTTACAGTTCACTGATCTAAAGGAGGTCACGGAAGTATTTTATTATTTGGTTCTGTAAATATTCATTTGTTAATGCTTGAAGTATTAAAAAAAAAGGGCTATTTTTGTTTTTATAATAAACATTCTAGGTCTGTTTTATAATCTTCAAAACATTTTAGTGATTTCTATTGTTATCACATTTATGGGATTGTTGGAAATTGCTGTCAAGTTTCCAACTAGCATAAATTTGTTTATTTAAATATCAAATTTACCTGGAGACACTCTGTTTTGCTTGTAATGTTTTCTGTCTCTTTGTCAGCTGGAACACAGAACTGCTTTCCTTGATAAGTCCTCTTTCTGGACACACTTCACTGAAGCACAGTTTGTACTGGATAAATGGGAATTTTCAGCAGCTGTAGTTTTTTTTTTAAAAGCTGATAGGAGGAGATGTTATTTATAACTCCCTGTAGCAGCTCCTCTTTAATGCATGATAATCTGCTGTGACTTTACAATGAACGCAGCCACATGTGGTCTCCTGCTCTCCTTCAGTAACCAACAGAATATTTTCTAGATGAAGGATATTTTAATCACTAGCCTGCATGTAAATTTCCTGAAGGATGATAAAAGCTTTTTTTTTATGTTACCATTATCTTTATGAATTTAAACTTATGTTTTCCCATGTCTCTTTCTTAGGAACATGAAGCAAATAAACTTAGATTTTCTTCCATCCTTCTATGAAATAGTAATTTGCTGTACAGCAGGGAAGTGGTAAAGTAGCAGGCATTCTTATAAAGCATTAAATTGCAAAATTTGGAAAAATTTATTTCATGGGATAGAAGAATATCAGTACTTTTCCACTTTTCCACAGAAGGTGGCAGCATTCTGAAGCACTTATGTTAGTGTGAACTTGCTAGCAAATGCCGTTGTTGAAAGAACAAAAACTTTACAGAAATTTACTCTGCTTGGAGGTTGTGGTGAATATAAAGAGGAGTGCTTGGGCATGAATTGTTGGTGAACTGGGAAACCTGGAGAGGGAGTGAGTAGGACAGATTTAACCCCTTTGTTAATTTAGCCGTGTTTATTTACCACTGCAGTAATACTGCCGGAGTGACTCTTATCTGAAGCTATGTGAAAAATTACTTGTTTCTAGGTTATGCCTTTTTTCACGGAATAACTCAGCTGATAATGGATCACTCCAGTAATTGCAGAGAATGTCCTGTTGGGCTGCAGCTTTGGAAGATGAATGTCACCAGAGAGTGGAAGCTTCTCCTATTATTTTCTCCACTTCCTTTGCCCACTCCCAGCAGCGTTCTCCAGCTCCTTAACCATGTCAGCCTCCATTTAGCACCTGAGGAACCCCCATAGACATGCAAATTTGCTCCTGAGCTAGCAAAAAAACCCCAAACAAACAAAGCCAGTGGAAAAACTGTCATATTCTACCAGAGTAAGAAAGGCTGAGGACCGTGTGACTGGAATCAGGATAAGGAAAGACGAGGAGGAGGAAGCGCAAGCCTTCCCCTTTTGGCATGAGGGAGCTGTTACCATTGACAGCTGCTTGTGAAGCCGCAGCTTTAGGGTGGGCTGCACAGTTACAGGATTGAGCTCCTGATCCCAAACTCCATCCCCGCGGTCCTACCAGCACGCGGGTTTTACAGCCCCCTTTGACATGCAAACACGCTTCCCACTCTGCCCTCTTTTTTATCAGACATCTCATCTGGGCAAGGAAGTGGTGACAGACAACCAAAAGGCAGGAGCTGCTTAACCTTTCACCGGTAATTAACCTTGCAGGCACCGCTCGAGCCTCAGAATGCCTCAGACAGGTGAGGTAAGGCCACACGGGAAGCCCATTTAAACCAGTGGCTTTCTAATCACTACATATACAGAATATTTAAGGAACTGGAGGAGCAGCTGAGACAGCTCAGGGCTCCGATTTTCCTCCTTTCAGCAGATTAAAAAAGCCTCACTATCCTGGGAAGAAGGGAGAAGCTGATTTTTGCATCTCCAGTAGAAGGAATGAGATAGGAAAATTGGATCCTTAAGAGGAAGAGATGCTTGCCAATGAAGAACCACTATCTACTTAGCAATTTTTTCCTTCTGTTGGAATGAAAATTAAACAACAGCAACAACCCAAGCCCAAAAAGTGCCTGAGATATTCCACAGCAGCCTGGCTGCAGCAGTTACCTGGGGGGACCCAGCATGTATGCTGGAGGTCAGTAGCAGGTCCTCAGGGTGAGACTCTTGGGCTTCTTTCTCCCTTTCTTATTCATTGCCATGAGCACTCCGAGGCTCTTTTTTACAAGCTGGCATGCTGGGATGAGAACCCCAGTAAGTGGCCCAGGTTGAAGTGTGCCTGTGTGTTACAGCAACTCGATGACTCAGGGAACAAATGTTTCCTTTTCTTCCCTCGGGGTGATGATGCATTGAGCTGAAGAGACCCGGGGAGAAGCAGACTGCAGGGCTAAAAGTCTCCTTCCTGGCAGGTGTGAGTCACTGGCAGGAACCAGGTAGCTACAGGAGCTGTAGGTGAAAGGCAGTTCCCCTCGGAAATTCCTGTGTAGATGGCACGTAGGACAGCAAGGAATGCAGAATGCCCTGGCTGCCTGGAGTTAAAGAGCTTTACCGGGCAGTTGAAAAAGTGGGGGCCATGTTTGAAATCGGAGGAGGTAGAATTTGAATAGTAGGTTTTCTTTTGGTGCTTTTCTTTTTGCAGGGAAGCAGGAAAAAATATTGGGCTGGGACTTGTCCACTTTGCTTGCATGCCAAATGTAAGTTTGGTTTGGGTTTTTGTTTTTTGTTTTTTTTTTTTTTTTTCAGGGGAAGAGTGTTACAGTAATAAAAAACCTGCAGATAGCTACATCTGGAGGGAAAGCTGGTATAGTTGGCTTACAGAGATTTGGGTCTGGGACAGAGAGTCAATATACGTGTGAGTGGTACACAGGAGTATAGACCATTGCAGAAAAAGGGGAGGAGGCTGTTGTATGAAACATTTGGGAACTGCTGAGATAAAGTAAGCTGCTCCATTCTGTTGATTTGAAGGGCTCAAACACTTGACTATGAGATCTCAGCTGGAAATTGCAACTTGCAGCATGGAGAAGGTAAGGAGAAACTTCCTGAAGCACATCTGGGGAGTAATTCTTGAATGTGGAGCCCTTTTCCAATCTCTGTATGATGAGTCTAGGCCTCGGAGTGACTGCACTCTGCAACAGTCAGCATGTTGGTACCTGAAGTGTGACACTCAGTGCCACATTGACAGGACCATGTTGACATGCCTGGAGTCACTGCTGCTTTATTGGCATTTTTTTGGAACCAGCTCTTGTGAAGTTGTAGACTGTAATCTGCAGCCCTTTCTGCTAAGTGCTGTTATGTGTCTTAGTTTCTGAAAAGAGCATTGATTCTTCTGTTCGGTGTGAAATGTATACCATGAGTTTGTTTCTCTGTATTCCAATAACCATATTTGCCTATTGGAAATTTTCAGGTTTTTAAAGAATTTTCTTTTTTTTTTGTTTGCCAGGAGTAGACATCATAAATTACACCTTTAAGTCTTGGTCTTTTATGATCTGGTGCTAAGACAGCTGAGGCCACAAATGGCTCTTGGGTGACTGAAGGCCTCACAGAGAAAAAGAACTGTACTATGCATTGACTCTGAGGGATAAATGAGAAGAGGTGGATGTTCTGGAGCATGTATGTGATATGTCCTGTCTTAATCAGGAGGGTGGAACTAGATAATCTCTAGAGGACCCCATCAGCTTCAACTCCAGCTACTTTGGAATTCTGAACTAGGAAAAAAGTTTTTTTAAGAGGTAGGTGTCTGCAGCCTTCATGGCCTGGAATTTCATTTTTGTTCTACTCCATCTTTTCAGTAAAAAGTACATTGAGAACTAACAACTTTCTCCCACCTTCAGCATTACCTACCTCTGTTGATGCCTGGATACTCAGATCACATGAAAAGCCAAACAAAGACCCTGTGAATTCACACTGTTTTGAATAGAGGGCACACTGTGGACTTTGGCTCACTTTATAAAACCTGTGTGAGGTACAAAGTTACTACACAGCAAAAATGTTTATGGCACTTGCTTCTAGCTTGTGTGTACCCTATAAGATCTGAGGTGTCTGCATTTTTTGTTTCAGAAAATCTGACTGGGAAAGCTTGAAGATACCCATATTAAAATTTGATTGTTACCACCTTGCACACTGTGCTTTTTCCCTAATGAGATATAAGGACACTGTACATGGGGGGTTGGGGGGAACACCAGCTTTACAGATTTTTGCTTGATGCAGCTTTAAAGGTAAATGTCTCATGGAGATCTGTATAGGGATCAGGCCTAAATTAAGACAGTGCAGAGAGACAGAAATTCTGGCATTAATCATAGTACTTTTATTTAAATGGTAAGGTGTGATTTAATGTAAGTGGTTTTATTTTTATTAATACTATATGCTGAAATTTGAACAGTACTGTACCTAAACAATTTTACAAATATAACACTAAATACACTGTTTATTGCTCTTTTTTTTCATGAACATAAAACCTGGAAATGAATACAAGAATAAATAAGGCACCCTACTAATATGCTATTTTTCTGTATTGTAGTAGCATGCAAAAAATTTCATTTTGCTTTTGCAAGTCACTCTCCTCATTTTTCTTACTAGAGAAAAAATAAGAGTTCATTATTTGGGCAAGTGCCTGTTTGAAAAGTCAAAACTTGAAACACTTTTTAATTTTCTTAACTCAACAGTCTACCTTACAAAACAGTTCTTGTATAGCATGTCCTAATTTCTTTTTCTAAAGACAAAAAGTATTTTTGTTCTTCCTTTGCTGTTACTAGGAAACATGCCTTGCAAGAGGAGTGTTCACGTACTGCTTGAGACAAAAGACCTGACTTGCTTTTTTTAGCTGCATTTTCTTCTTGTACTGACCCCGCTCAAAAGATAAAAATAAAAATGCAGAGGCATCTTTCCTGACTTCTTGTGCGTGGCTAGGCCAAATCACTGATCAGCAAAAGATGGCAGCTCCAGAGATGCTGCTTAAGGGCCTGTTCTAAATTTCAGTATGCCCTAAATTAGGGCTTCCCAGCAGTTTCAAAATCCATTCTGTCCAGCTGTCCTTTCTGCACACCGGCTGTCACTCTGTCAGGGCTCAGGAGAACCGCCATGCCTCGGCCGCCCTCACAGCTTGTCAGCTGCTAGGGCAGAAGCTGGTTTGCAGTGGCTCCAGTGATTTGGGAACCTACTGCCAACATGGTGACAAATGACCAAATAAACAAACCAGAGGCACGACTATGGCCCTCCATCCCAACTTTCTTTTAACAGTTTGTTCCATTCTTTTCAGAAATGATATTAGACAAAAGGTTTGAATTTGTTTTTCTTTTTTAATCTAAAGCAGATTATATAATAATTTCTTGACGCTCTAATATTTATTCTTTAAAACTGAAATGTTCTTGCAGGGTAATATAAACATAGCAGGTTCAATCACCAAGTTTACCAGTTATATGAAGTATGTGTTACTTACTTATGTGACAACACCCAGCTTTACATAAACTCTGAAATGCAAAATGTCTTTTAATTACATAAGTTATTACAGTACTGTTTTAAAGGAATCTTTTGGTTATATGTAAACACTATAAATTAGCTCTTTAAAAAATAACCATGTAAGACAAGTATGGCATTGACATAGTTTAAAAAACAATAAACAGTCCTAAATCTGAATATTCTCAGGGCAGAACAGCAAAAGCAGGTATCAATCTAATGCTGTGGAATAACATGCTGAAATTTAAACTTATTTGAAGAATCAGTACTTTTATTTGATCCCTCCTTTTGTTGTAATATTTTAATATTTTCACCTTTAGTGCTCTAAGGAATGGGCCAAGTGGTACTATATGTGACAGGATAATATAAGCTCTTTTGAGTATTGCCATTCTAATAATAAAAGCCATCTAAATAAAGTCTCCTAAATACATACTGATTTAAATTAAAATCCTGAGGAATTATAATCTCTCTACTTGATAGTTTTGGTTAAGTGCAATTTGATGTATGCAGAACACTGTTTCATTTAAGGTCATTCTTAGTAAGGCATATTAAAAATAAATATAAAAGTGACAACATAATATTTAATTTCTTGCTACAAAATCTTAGGCAAAAATATTTTTGCATGTAGTAATAGACTTTATCCATTTGCTGGCTTACAGGAGTTAAAATTTGTGCACTAAGCTTAACTGCCCTTGTCAGAATGTGCCACTGTGCTATTACAGTGGTCCAAAGCTACATGCTAAAGATTTTATTTCCATGCTCAAACACGGCTTGCACAAACTGCTTGAAGACTCTGTCCATGTAAGTGCACTTCCTTGGCCATATTCCTTCCAGAAAACCGATATGGCCTCCGCATGAAGTCAGAACCAAAGCAACGTTTGCGTTTTGTTTGGCAGTTTCTACTGGTATAGCTAAAAGGGAGGGAAAAACATTTTAAGTCCTTTACCTTCTATGAAATGCCAGCCATTGAAAAACTTCTCTTAAACATTTCTCATATTATGTATGAATAAATAGGCACAACATTAAGATACACTTAAATTCACTTAAATATCAGGGTTTAGAACCATAGCTGTATTAAAAACCATTTTTCTCTTCATCATTAACTCACCTTACCTGTGTGATTTTTTTTTCCCCTGGCTGCTGTAAAAATTCCAGCTTCATCTGTCTTTCACTCACACTGATGGAACAGCACCCATGTTAATGCATACTTAGGATTTGCTATAAATAGTGTAAGTAAAAGGACAGTCAGCCCTCTTAATTTTTAACTGTTATTGCAATATTCAACTTTAGAAAAGCCAAGGAACTGGGACCTCAGTTGCAATTGTGTGAGACTCCAAACACAGAACCTTTACTATCAGGGTAAGATTTAGTCTGTAGGATATCCTATCAGCTAATATAAAAGATTACATTATATCTGATCTGCCATATATTTACACCTGCATGTTTAGAGCACACCATGCAAACACACTGGGGGATGGTTCTTGCCCTGAGGAGCCCATAATCTAAGACACAAGGTAAACAGAGAAAGAAAAAGGGGCAAACAACGGTACAAGGACACAGAAAGCTGATCCATGCCACCCAGGAGATTAGTGGCTCTCTACTGAATAGTGACTGCTAGAAATTATTTTAGAATGTAGATTATTAGACTGGATAGTACAAGGATTTTTTGTTTGCTGGGTTAGTTTTCCTGATCTGATTAGCACCCTAATCTAGCTCCCCATATTAATGCCAACATCTGAACAGAGGCAGCCACAGTCAGCCTTCAGTGAGGTGGCAGTGGCCTACAATTAGCCTAAAGTCATCAGTAAATGACATCTGAGATATGCACTGATCTGGAAATGTGTAGGAGGGAGGCTTCAGTGCCTCCTATTTGACTCTGCATAGATGTGTGGCTTAATCAATTTCACCACCTGGGCAGTTCCCTTTCTGAAGGAAAATAGAGGTCACTTAGCACAGACTGACACCAGAGGAAGCATATGATTTTACAAAGGATACTTGGTGTGATGGGATCACCCTGGTATCATTTGAACTGGCTAACACAGCAGTGGAGCTTTACATGAAGACTGCAAACACCACTGATCTGTAAAAATTAAGTTATTTAAGCAAATTCCTCTGGAGTTTTAGGTATGCTAAGCAGACATATGAATGAGAAGAAATCTCAGCACATTTCAGTAAAGAATGCATTTCAAATTTCCAGTTTTCAAGTAAGAAACTTTATGAAACAGAAAAAAATAAAAATCATACAGATTTTTGGTTATTCAGGATTGACAGAAAAAGCAACAGCAAAACAAAAAAGCTTTGTCCAAAGAAGGGAATAGTAGCAGTTTCACTGTGTTGTCTAAAAAAGGTTATGACAAGAAAATAATTCTGTTTTTAAGTCATATACTGCTCAACTAAAAACACCTTGTCTACACTACAACACTAAGCAGCAAGTTGTTCACAAGATTTATATTACTTCTTCATTTACTTTAAAGTATTTTTGAATCAGATTCAATTTTGGGCATGTTCAGTTGTTCGCATCCTTTTCTGACTGCACTTCCTTCAGAGACACCTTCCACTCATTCCTGTTTCTAGGAGTCTGTTCCTTTACCCCTTTATACATTTGCTGTCTCAAAGGTCATTATCCTTCAATAGTCTCTATCTCTGCATATTACTGCCTTCTTCATAGATGTGCTCCTTACGTTCATTTGGGTGCTGGCAAACTCAGAGCTGTGTGCTTGAGATGCCAGTTTGCCTTCATTTTCAGCAACTGGAGTAGGAGCAGGGTAACCCTTTGCTTAGCCAAAAAAGGACCCCCAGCCAGAGTAAGTCACAGGAGAACTTGAGTGCAATGACTGTGGCGAACAGCTGTGCAACTTAAAATAGATCAGGGCAGAAGCACTGGACCTGTGGAGCCAGGGGAGCAGCCTGTGCCTCGGGGGTCCCTACCAGCAGTGCCTGGAATGCCACGCTCTGTTCCACTTCAGAGCCTCAGCACGGATGCAAAACCGACTGCCTGCACAGCTGGGTGAGTGTCTGTTGTGAAGGTGTGTTACAAACTCCTTGCCTATAACATAAGGTACCTGACCATACCCTGGGGGAGCACAAACTGAGCTCCAGAGAGCAATGGGAGCTCTCTTGCCATGTATGTGAGGTTCTTTGCTACTCAGTGCTATTCATTTCTTTCACTCTTTCCCTCCTTTAAAAATTGCAGGCATCTAAGTAGTTTGTAGATTCCAGCATTTACTAAGTGATTTTGATTCCTTACTAGGAGAAGGAAACTGTGCTTCTTACTGTTTCTACAAGAAATCCTTGGCTTTTCTTTTGTTCAGTTGGAAAACTGAAAATACTGTATGCAGGATCTGGCCCTTTTAAAGCAATACTGTGGCCAGACTAAAAAGTCAGTGATGTAAAAGCCTAGACTGGGGAATAGCACATGCTGAGAACATGAGATGCAGAAAACAATGTGTTATTTCTTGCAATCCAACACATGCATAATTTTCAGACTCAGCACGCGCTTGTCTGGAGTTTTGCCTGAGTTAATCTGCTCAGCAATCTCTGATTTGCCTCTCTTGGATTCTGTGGAGGAACACATTGCCATGTACAAAGAGAGTGGCTGCAATTCACATCACCTTCTGCTGACTGCATAGAAATTTCCCCACTTATCTGTACCAAGCCATCTGCTCTTCTTCATCCAGTAGTCTGTGGTCCATGTTAAACAGAATCCCAAGGGAGAATTGGGGATCAGACACAAACCCCATGCCTGCTTCAGGCAATAAATCACACTTCCCACACCCATTCTGCAGCTGTCTGCCTGGTCACTGAGGGGACTAATAAACAGGCTTCTGTGCAAGGGTATGAGAAGGAATATGTGAGGAGAGACAGATTGACCTCCAAGTATCAAAGATAGGCATGAGAACCACATCAGTAGTAAGAGATTCAGGATCAGCTGCTAACTGGCATGAACATACCTCTTCACTCACTAAACAGGCAAAATCATGAGCGTCATTCAGTTTGACAGACTAGTGGCAACATGTAGGGAGAATGTTCCTTCTTGATAAGAAACTGCTTTGCTGGGGGATAAAAAGGAGATCATAATAAATGTCTCCTCTACTGTGCCAGCCCAGCTGGGGAAGCCTTACAGGCCACCAATCTCACCATGACCTCTGCATGTCTGTCATTCAGAGGTTGCCAGTGTAATCATAGCTCCCAAATCAGTTTGCTGGTGGTCATTCATTCCCAAACTGGTTGGCAACACTGTAGTGGGTGCCACGTGCTGCCTGGCTCCACACAGCTACAGTGGCTCTTTCCTGGAAGCCTACCAGTCCTGCACTAGGATGCTGATTATTTTCCACGCCTGGAAAGGTGCAAGCCACATGCAGGTCTTTAGAAATGTCATCTTCCCCATCCTGAAATTCCTTCTATTTATCTATGTTACTCCTCCCCAGCAGAGTTTCATGCTCTGGAGGTTCTCAGAAGAGAATTGAGTTGCTCCTCAGTGCCAAAATGCAAATGATGCTTGGCAGTGGTGTGGTACTTTTCTCAAGGCTGTTCCTAGGGACTGGTAGCTATCCAGTAAGTAAAACCACAATGCAACAGAGTAAATTTTGCAATGTAAAAGGGAGATGAATGGAGCACTGGATGTATGTGTTCTAGGAGATAGGATTGCATGCCAAAAGATACCACTGTTCATTTT